TCTCTCTCTCTCTCTCTCTCTCTCTCTCTCTCTCTCTCTCTCTCTCTTTCCTGAGTTTCTCTAGGACCTCCTCATTAGCTTACGTTCAGGAAGCTTTTCATCATTTGGATGAATGACAAGCCTGGTACAGTGGGCCTGGACGGGGCTACTCCCCCTCCCCCACATCAAACCCGCGTCACCAGGCAACACATCACAAAAGCCCCCCTGTTACAAAATAGCTTTTAGGATCAATTGAAATGACTTTCTTTTGTCTGTTTGTCTGGAATTAATTGGAAAGAGTTGAAGCTTTGTTCGGAAATAGTTTTTTCCCAGTCCTATCCATATGTGGAGACTACAATTGACCTCAGGGACCATTCAAAAATATGTGAACTGGGCTTAGAAAAGACAAAGTCAGGGCCGACATGAAGAGAGTGAAAACAGAAATAGTAAAAAAAAATAAAAAAATTAATGCAGGTTCCATAACTTTGCATTTTCCGTATTATTTATTTTATTGACTACTTTGGTAATAGATATAAAGCCCTTGGCTGCTGGATGATCATTGTTTAATGTTGTTTGCCTTGTTTGATTCTGAAATGGCCATGGTGAATTCAACTGCCTTTATAATGGTAGGCTCTTGAATGAGACTTTAATAAAAAAAGAAGAACCCAGATGGCTGTAAAGAGTGAAATAGGAGAAGACACAGGATGCCTGTAAAAGTGTCTCAGTTTATACCCATGCCTCGCACTTACGTAAATTTAACTCCTGTCAGCGGTATAAATGTAAATTTATACTTACATATAAAGTGTGATGTCGACCGGGCAGAGTCCGATAGAAACTACACGTGTAGCTGTGGCAGACGATGAGAAGTTGCAATATGCTACATTTAAAATCTACGCGGATGGATTGCCACTAGCAGCTACTCCGATTCAGACACCATTTATTGAGAGTGATTTATGGGGAGCTCCTGTTAGTGTATGTCAGAGTGTTTGTACGTGTGCATGTGTTTGGAGGGTCGACGGTGGCTCTCCATCACCCTCCGACCTTCCTGTCCCTACCCCTTTCATGGCCTCCTGCCTGGGTGAATGCTGAAGCGCTATCCCCACACCTCCTTGTAGCTCCCTTTGTCTGCCAAACCCCGCCCTCGATCTGCCCCCCCCCCCCCCCAACCTTGCTCTTCTCTGCTCGCTTGCCACGAAGCGAGTCATCTCTCTGTCATATAGATTAGCCAACTAAATGCCATATACGCTTTGACATTTAAACATGAAGCCTTGTAGTGTTTTCTTTTCATCCTTGCAAAATCAAGATTAGTGCATGCAGCAGACCTACTGCATTATTGACATTGCAGCATTAGTAACTTCATTTATCGCGGTTTTGGAGGAAAAGGCATATATGGCATTGCCACAAAGCAAATATCGAATAGTCATCGTTGTATTCCTCTCACTGATATCATTCCTCTCAATGATTATCCTGGCATACAGACATGGCCTATGACTGCCCTGTTCCTTCCTTTAGGCAGGTATGCGGCTGATGTTAAACCAGAATGTTCCCTCTTGCCGTGTGGTCAGCGCCTCTCCATCTGTCCGCCAAAGTGTCAGAAGGATTGAGGAAGAAAGGGATCTTCTCTTCTTTTTTTACTGCACCGATTAGGTGGGCACAAGGGATGAGAGCTCTGACCGCTGCTGTTTAGTTACACCCAAAATCGGTTAATTAAGGTACACCTGCAGACTAAATACTCAGATCTCATTGCCTGCTTTATT